TTCTTCTGTAGCAGTTTTTGCAGAGATTAATGCTGTTTTATATTGATCTTATAATTTTTGGTAGTAGAAATCTGTTTTTATACTACCAATAATTTAGGGTAGCCTATATATTGCAGGCCTCTACTCTTACTTTACTTGGTTGAAGTATATAAACTTTCCCCCCATATTTTCAAATATTGATCTCTTTGGCCAAAGCAACTAAACATTAGTGATGGGTGTTTGATTATAATTATCTGGATCTTTTTGCAACCCCAGATATTTTTTTAAATTTAATTTTTTTAAAATTTGAGAAATTTAATAGTATGACAAAACTAATGAAATATTTTTTGGGGGAGGTGGGTTGGTGCTTAACAAAATCCATCAATACAAATCTCGTCCTTTTAATTAATTAATTAATTTTAAAAAAGATTATTTTAGAGAGGGAGAGAGTGGGGGGAGGGGCAGAGGGAGAGGGAGAGAGAGAATCTCAAGCAGACTCCCCACTGAGCAGGGAGCCCATCATGGGCCTTGATCTCACGACTCTGAGATCATGACCTGAACTGAGATCAAGAGTCAGATACTTAACCAGCTGGGCCACCCAGATGCCCCATTATCCTTTTAATTACATAGGGAAAAAATAGTAACAACAACAAAAATAGCCCTAACATAAAACTCATCAGTTTTATATGACCTTTCAATTTCTTTGTGTTTATATTTTTATATAATCTAAGTCATAATATATCCAAACTTTGTCCGTTGTCTCTTACAAACTCAGCATTATATCACATGCATTATCATTTTTCTAATAAACCTCATATTTTTAATTGTTAAGGTTTTAATTGTCAAATTTGCTGAGTGGGTATGTCATAATTTAGTTAACCGTTTCTTTGTTTTGAACATACAGATTACTTATAATTTTTCACTTTCATAAATAATGCTTTGCTTAGAATGCCTATTCATCCCTGCCTATAAAAGTTTTGATCAGACATCAAGCCCAGATACAGGGCTTGGTGGAATTTACACCCTTGAAAAATTTTCTGTTCATGGCAAGGGCAGGAGCTTTGCTCAACTTTCTGAGTTCCTGTAGTGGGCCAGGCTTCTTGATGCCTAAAACATGTAGGACATCTTGGTCCCCATTATCCTGTAAGAATTTGGTTGCCTCTACCTATTTTAGGTCCCAGAACTCTATACTCTATACTCTGTGTGTTTCTGTTTTATTTTTTGTCTACTGAGATACTTACCTTGTTTTTGAACATGGTTCTACCTCTTTAATATTTAAAAATTCTTTATCTGTTATTGATCTTTGGAACTGAGGCAGCTTGGTGTCTATGTTAACTGCAAAAGCTATCTGGACCGGAGTTGTGGCCATTCTCTGTTTACCATGGCATATTTCAATGTTTTATATCTCCTACTCATTCTATATTATCAGTTTAACCTATTTAATACCTGTTTTGTGTGTGTGTGTGTGTGTGTATAACTTTCTGTCCAACACATTTATTTTCCTTAAAAACAGTGTTCTTATTGGAGTGCCTGGGTGGCTCAGTCAGTTGAGCGTCCGACACTTGATACTTGATTTCAGCTCAGGTCATGATCTCAGGGTTGTGAGATTGAGCCCCCATGGCGGGTTTCCTGCTTAGCGGGGAGTCTGCTTGTGATTCTCTCTCCCTGTCTCCCCACCCCCTTCTCTTTCTCTAAAATAAATAAATCTTTAAAAAAATACAGTGTTCTTATTTCTGTATTCTCAGCTTTTGTGTATTTTTTGATTTCATCTAGTTGGAATGATTGTCACTGAAGTAAATTTAACTTTTCCTTCAAGGAATGGATTTTTTTTTCAAATATCAGAACTGACATTGATCTATTTTTTTTTTTAAAGATTTTATTTATTTATTTGACAGAGACACAGCAAGAGAGGGAACACAAGCGGGTTGAGTGGAGAGGGAGAAGCAGGCTTCCTGCTGAGCAGGGAGCCAGATATGGGGCTTGATCCCAGGACCCCGGGATCATGACCTGAGCTGAAGGCAGATGCTTAATGACTGAGCCGCCCAGGCGCCCCGGCATTGATCTCTTTTTTCTCTGTTTGCATTCAGAGCTCTTTGATTTAGCATTTAATTTTTTTCAAGTTGTTTCCTACCTCCTTTTGTTTACATTAGTTTCGTTTCTCCAGCCAGGTTATAGTCTACCTCAAGGCACGGTCCTTATTTCTCTTATGCTGTCCCCATTCCTTTTGACATCCAGAGCCTTACAGAATGTTCGATACTTCATGGGAGATGAGCAGATGTGTTACGTACTTTTTGGTTACTGTAAAAGATTCCTAAATTTAGGTAATACTTTTCTATAAAAGCATAATTTGGAAGATACTTATCTCTCTATTACTTTAAATTTTTAGCATAAATTATTATTATTATTATTTTTAAAGATTTTATTTATTTATTACACAGAGAGAGAGAGATAGCAAGAGAGCACAAGCAGGGGGAGTGGCAGAGGGAGAGGGAGAAGCAGGCTCCCCGCTAAGCCTGTTGCTGAGTGGCAAGCCCCATCCCAGGACCCTGGGCTCACGATCTGAGCTGAAGATAGACTCTTAACTGACTGAGCCACCCAGGCGCCCCTAGCAGAAATTATTCTTATTCTTATCCTGTTGTTTCCACAAAGTAAAACTTTTATAAGTAGAAAAGTTAGAATGCTTTATATTGTTTCTTCAGGATCATCATTACTGTAATTGGACTTCTCATTAAAATAATGGGATTTTGGCGACCTAAGAACAGAACAAGAAGTTATTAGACAGTTTAACAATAATCAGGGGGAATGTGTTTAAAATACGGGTATGAAAAAGCATCGATAGTTTCTCTCTTGTTTTTCCCTTTACTCTTCATGCCTCTTGGGCTTACTTAGGTCTGTTTATTAGGACTATTTTAGGCAAATTTGAGAAAAGGTATTTTTGGTGGCGGTAATAGGATTATGTAGATATATCTCTGAATTCCTTACTTCACAGGAAAGGTAAATCTCAGATGAAAAGCCACCTGCCCTCTGGAAAAGTAAATGATACGGAAATGGGGAAAATATAATTCTTGGGAGATACAGCTTTAGTTTCCAGTGCTTTTGAGGATGGGGTTACTAGTTTTAAAAACCATGGTGGTGTGAAGCTATTGAAATGTTGGTGGGTCAAAAATGAATTTCTAGTTTTATACAATTCTTTATATTAAGTATATAATTTAAAGGGTCTTTAACTTTTTCACCATCGAGCTACCTTTTTTGCCAGATGCACGAGTATCATCAAATCTAGATAGCTGGCTTTTCTTTCTTTATAAATTCATGTCTCAAGCATACCGTTTTGGGAAAGAATCTTGCTTTGTTTTTTAGAGGAGGGTAGCTGATAGGAGAGTTAAAACATGAGAATTTTATGGATTTTAAAGGAACACAATAAAGTCATACTCTGGATAAGTTTACAAAGTTTTAGAAGGTTACGTTTTGGGAAAGTATGACAGGAATGTGGATCATCCAATTTGGAGAGGTCTGCTTATTTTTTTTTTTTTCTTATTTTTAATAACAAGAAAAATTTCAGTGTAAAAGTAATTGAACTATGGATCTAGAATTCTAAAAAAAAATGAGCAAAACCAAAACCTGAAAAACTAAAAACCAAAATATCCACAACTGTGTCTTGCTATGAAATCATTTGTATTTTGGGATATATATCCTTTGAATCTCTTATATAAATAGTTTTTATACTTAATTATAGTGTGTATGTTTTGTCATTTTCTGTGCAGCTTTTTAAAAGATTTTATTTATTTGACAGAGAGAAAGAGCATAAGTAGGGGGAGTGGCAGAGAGAGAGGGAGAAGCAGACTTCCTGCTGAGCGGGAGCCTGATGCGGGGCTCTATCCCAAGACCCTGAGATCAAGATCTGAGCTGAAGGCAGATGCTTAACTGACTGAGCCACCCAGGCGCCCCTCTATGCAGCTTTTATAATCATTTTAATTAATGAATTTCAAAGTAGTATCATTTCCTCCTTATTTAGCATTTATGTTGAATATTTAATAGTGATGAATAGGATGTTTGCGTGTTGAGTTAAGTACAGTGAATTGCTCTCAGTCTTGAGTGCTTGAGGTGGTGCATCTCAGTGGAGATGTCCAGCAGAGAAGCAGTATGGTTTAGTGATGATGAGCTAGACTACTCAAGTTAAAAACCTTTCTCCCATTGATTAGCCATGTGATTTTGGGCAAATTAGTTTCCACACCTCAGTTCTCTGTTGTGTGAAGTGAGAATAATGATAGTATGTACCGTAAATCTTTTTTGCTAAGGATTATTAAGTTAGTTGTTGTGTTCTGAATCTTTCTTCTTGCCCAGTGTTTTACTAGATTTTTAGTTCCTTTAAGGTAACACCTAGGTATTAATGAATGATAATGTTAGAGGATAAATGTTGCAAGAGAAAAAGAAAAAGACCTTTAACCCTCCAAACTGTATGTATTTTTGGTGATGGAATATCAAGTATTGGAGACAGATTGGTAATGATTGGCATGAATGGGCTGTATTGATCTTTTTAGCTACCCTCAAATTATTGTAGTTTAGTTGGTGTGGTAGAGAGAGCAAGGCAAGAGGAATTAGAAGATCAACATTTTAGTTCTTTCTGATTTTTGTTAACAGCACAATCTTGAGAAGTCTTTTAGCCATTTTGAATCTGTTTTCTCATCTATAAAGGTAACATGTACCCTGCTTCTCTCAGAGATGTCATTATAATTAAATAAGATGTTCTGTGAAAGTGAGTTGAAGACTATAGGCACTTTATATACAAAAATAAGCTTTTTATCAATTTAAAAAGACTAAAAATGAGAGAATGCATACAGAGATCTTGATACAGTATTAGGCACAGTCTTCAATAAAGGATAGCTGCTAGTACTGTTATTTTTATTGCAAGGACACCTACTTTTATATGTAAGGCTAGCCCTGATTACTGTTTAGGTTGTTAAATAGTTTATGAATATATTGTTAATATCTATTTTGATTTTTTTTTTCTCTCTGTGTTTCAGACTCCTGGGAGAGTTGGCTCTCAAGGTTCTGATTTAGATTCATCAGCAGCTCCTATAAACACAGTGGATGTCAATAATGAAAGCTCTTCAGAGGTATGGAAATAATAATTTGGCAATAAAATTTGGTATTATTTAAGGGAAAATGAGCAGATGTTTGGAGTAATGGTCAGTAATTTAAACTTTTGTAGGAAAGGTTGTCTTTCTTCTTACAAACTGGAATGTGACTTTTGAATCACACTTGTAGAAAAATCCTGGTGTTTAGTTGTAAGACTGAGAAAGTGTTTATTAAGACTGAAAATTAATATTGTTAATTTGTCTTCATGCTAATGTCATCTCAACTTATGGAAGATTTTAAAATCTGTTTGTAAAAATTACCAATTAGTGTTTACACTGTCATGAACTGCTGAGCTAATGAAAAATTAGGTTATCTATAAAGTTTATACATTATTTGCTATCTTCATTTACAACTTTGTAAGAACTTTTATCTTTCATAGTTGATTAAAAATTAATGGGGAAAGTAGATAAATCTAAGAAAGAACTCAAATTTTTGGAGAAGTCAGCCTTAGTAGTTGCTTTATTATTATAATTTTTAACAAACAATATTTGCTCATTATAGAAAAAGGGGAAAAGGAAAGAGAAGAGCATAAAAACCACCAATAATATTGTCCCTAAGATATTGACGTACTCACATTCTGCTCTGACAGTTTCTGTCAGTTGCCCCTTTCTGGGTCCAACTGTATTGCCTTCCCAGTCCTCTTTACTGTGTTCCCCCCTTCTGCACCTCTTGGTGAGTCTCTGTCTTGTGTATTTCTGGATTTGTCTCTCTATCCATTCATCTCCCTGTTTTGTCTCTTTCTGGCCATCTGATTTCATGTATATGGATATTAACCATGACAAGATCTAACAAGACTATCCATGAGAGTGAGGAGAAAAGTATCAGTTGAACTTTATTAAGAGCAAGTTTTACTGTTGTCCTTAGACAAAAAAAAAAAAAAAAAAAATCCAGTGGGTAGTGAGACTGCTCAGTGTCTGGTAATCCTGCTGTATTTTCTTATTAGCATCATTTTCCTACTCTCTGATATAGTTTTACTCTCTTCTTTATCCTCAAATCTCTCATGTGTCTTACCCTATCCCACCTTCCCTCAGGCACCTTCTGTATCACTGAGAAAATAGGAGCTATTAGGTGAATGTCCTCGTTTTGATACCAAAGCTATTTGCACCTTTATTCTCTTACTTTAATGCATGGAAGACATTTCCCTTTTCCTATCAGATTTCAGTCCTTTCTCTTGTGCTCTGGATTCCCTTCTCGTCCACATTCTTGTCTTATTCTCTCTCCCTCCTGCCACTTTAGTTTTTACGTATGTCATGAATTATTCCTATTGGCATACAAATACTGCTCTAGACATTCATATGCCCACTGCTAGGGTACATACTTGTCGGTGTCTTGGATGATATCTCTGTCTGTCTGTCAGTCTCTCAGGTTTGTTTCCCTTTTACTTTAAGTTTGGCATCCCACTTTGAACAAATTCTAGCTTTGAACTTTGTCCCCTTAGCAGCTGTCTATGTGGAATTTGAAATATGGTCTGCATGACTTTATTTTTTTTTAAATTAATTTATTTTTTAGGGCTTGAACTCATTACCCTGAGATCAAGACCTGAGCTGAGATCAAGAGTCAGGTGATTAACTGACTGAGCCACCCAGGCACCCTGGTCTCTACGACTTTAAAGAAATAGAAGTTAAAGCAATACCTTGGTTTATTTATGTCATATTTTATATTTTGTTATATATAATAATATATATAATATTGTCTTAGTATGGGCTGTTGTAACAAAAGTACTATAGACTGAGTGACAAATATTTCTCAGAGCTCTAGAGGCTGGGAAGTCCAAGATCAAGGCGGATTCTGTTCTGGTGAGGGCCTGCTTCCTGGCTTATAGAAGGCCATCCTCATATGGCTGAAGGGGCAAGAGAGCTGTCTGAGATTTCTTTTATAAGGGCACTAATCTCATTCATGAGGGCTCCACCCTTACGACCTAATCACCTCCCCAAAGCCCCACCTCCTAATACCATTACTTTGAGGGTTAGGATTTCAATGTAAGAGTTTTGAGGATACATGTTCAGTTTATACCAAACATATAATATGTATAATACATAATGTAATAATGATTTATATATATATATATATTTAAGATTTATTTATTGGGGCACCTGGGTGGCTCAGTCAGTTAAGCATCTGACTCTCTCGGTCTCAGGTCGTGATCTCAGGTTCCTGGGATTGAGCTCCATGTCAGGCTCCTTGCTCAGTGCAGAGTCTGCTTATCCGCCTCCCAACCCCCTCTACCTCCCCCTTTATCTCCCCCCCAACCTCGCACTCTCTCATTCTCTCTCTGAAATAAATAAAATCTTTAAAAAAATATTTTTAAAAAGATTTATTTATTTGAAAAAGAGAGAGAGAGGGAACACAGTGGGGGGAGGGGCAGAGGGAGATGGAGAGAGAGAATATCAAGCAGACTCCCCTCTGAGCGCTTAGCCTGATGTGGGGGGGCTGGATCTCAGGACTCTGAGATCATGACCTGAGCCAAAATCAAGAGTCTGACACTTAACCGACTGAACCACTGAGGGGCCCCCATGTTTTTATATTCTTTAGTTGTCGTCATCAGGACGGTTGTTCAGACTATTTAGTATAATGTATTGCCAGGAGCAAACATCTTTGTTCACTCTTTATTCCTTTCTAGTCTGTGTTCCGTTCTTAGTACCCACTGAAACTACTCAATGATGACCTGCATTTTCCTGGTCCTTTGGGTAGAGAGGGCAGGCTTTTTTTTCTAAGTGCTCACTGAAGTTTCCAGGTTGCCAGCTTCTCCAATATCCAGTCTGGAATATATGAGGCAAAAGAAAACCTGGAGTATTTATCACTGTGTCAGTCCTTGGATCCTGAGATGCTTAGCTGGTCTGCCTTCTCATCAGCTTTCAGAATTTTCTTGTGTTTGTTTTATATATAATGTCTAGGGATGTTAGGTGTACTTAGGAGAAATTGGGAAAAGCGTATCTATTCCATTTTGTCTGTAACTGGAAATCTGACCATTTTAAAAGTTGGATTGTTTATCTTTTTATTATTGAACTGTAAGAGTTGTTTTTTTTTTTTTTTTCATCTAATCTGGGTACAAGTCCTTTGTTAGTATTTTGATTGCCTCCTATTTACCCTATTGGTTAAGGAAGGATTCCTGTCTTTAGGCTTATAGGGATGGCTGAATATAAAATTAACCTGACACTGGACAGGTTGAAATCAGTAGCAGTTTGTTAGTCCCATATAGTCATGGCCCAGGAGGACACTGTATGCCTTGAAGGGCCATATGAGGATTGAACTTGGGAACAAAATGAACAACCGTGGACTGTGAGAGGCAGGGTTTATGGTTATCAAGAGGGTGAGGTGCCCCTTGGTTCCTGTAGGAGATTATGATTGGCTTGTTTGAATTATTCTATGGGCTGGCAGGGAACTGAAACCTGCTACTGAGGGATAAGCAGGCTCTGTGAAGAGGAGGGTTTTTTGTTTTTGTTTTTTTTTAAGATTTTTTTTCTTTTAAAGATTTTATTTATTTATTTGACAGAGAGACAGTGAGAGAGGGAACATGAGCAGGGGGAGTGCGAGAGGGAGAAGCAAGCTTCCCACTGAGCAGGAAGCCCGATGCGGGACTCGATCCCAGGACCCTGGGATCATGACCTGAGCCGAAGGCAGACGCTTAACGACTGAGCCACTCAGGCGCCCCAAGATTTTATTTTTTAACTAATCTCTACATCTGACTTGGGGCTGGAACTCACAACCCTGAGATCAAGAGTTGTGTGCTCTATGGACCGAGCCAGTCAGGCGCTCCAGGAGGAGGGTTGTTTGAGTAGAGGATGCTGTCTGTGGGAGCAGAGTGGGAAGAGAACTTGCAGTTAGGCCATCTGAAGTTCTCCCATCACCAGTTGACAAAGCGGTGTGTAATATTGGGCCTTAATTTTTGATTTTATACCACAATCAGATATATGTGATATGTATATTTTTTCTCAGTCTGTGGCTTGCTTTTCATTTTGTTAATGGTGTCTTTCAAAGAGAAGTTTTTAATTTTGTTAAAGTCCAGTTTGTCAGCCTTTTCTCTTATGGTTAGTGCTTTTTGGGTCCTTCTACAATGTTTTTTGCCTGCCCCAAGATTGCAAAGACTTTCTACTATGCTTACCTCTGATGTTAAAAAAAAAATCATTTTAGTGTATATATTTAAGTCTATGATTTATTTTAAAATATTGTGTATGGTATGAGATAGTGGTTGAGGTTCATTTTTTTTCATATGGTTATGGAAACCAGTTCTGTATATGGTTGTTTCAGTACCATTTGTTGAAAATGTTACCTTTCCCCATTGAATTAAATTTTCCCTTTTGTGATAAATCAATTGACCATAGTATATGTGTGTTGTATTTCTTTATGCTCTTTGATCCAGGCATACAGAACTCCTGCTTTTAGGGTGTGCCAAGTTTGTTCTTATCTCTGGACTTCTGTATGCTGATCCCCATGTCTTACCTGCTCTTTTACTTTTTTGCCTGGTTAACATCAGATTATCCTTTAGGTCTCATTACAGATAATTACTTTTTCAGTAAACTTTACTTGACTCACATGTGGAATAGAATTTTCTTCCATGTGCTTCTGGGGAATTATATTTTCTATCCTTTTGGTAATGATTTTTATTCTGAGACTCATTAATTTATCCAGTATGTATTGTTGTCAGACACTGTTCTGTTTGCTGGAGATATGGCAGTCAGTAAAATAGTCAAAAATTTTTGTCATGGTAGAGCTTATATTCTAGTAGGTGGAAATAGGCAAAAAACCCAAAATGTCTAAAAATGGACAGAGGGAAACAGTTGGTGTTATTGAGAAAAATAAAGTAGGGAAGAAGCATAGAAAGTGTTCTGGGTGGTTGCAATTTCAAATAGGATTATCAGGGAAGACCTCTTTGAGAAGGGAATAGCTCAGGAAGAACTGAAGGAATTGAGGAAATGAATCATGTGGGTTTCTGGAACAACTGTCTTCTATTAATGTGGAACAAGTAGAAAGTCTCTGA